CCCCAAAACCCCAAAACCCCAAAACCCCATATGTCAAATTCTATCAAGTTTTTATTATTGTTAGAATATCATATTAAATCATGAAATATTGCTCAGCTGAAATTCAAGTACAGTGAAATAAGAATCAAATCAAATGTTTATACTATTAAATTATCAATAAATCATCTAAAACTTCTCTTGAGGTATTCATAGAAAATACTCAATAATCTGGAAGTTCTAATACTATTTCACTTATCTCGTATACATTTTAACCGCCTAATCCCTTTGATACATGATAGTATTAAAGATCTTTAAATAAATATTTGCGGGTTTTCTTGATTTATTATTCCTAAATTATTAACTTTTGTTAAAATAATGTAGATGGATTAAGTAATTAGCAAACATATTTAGATTAGAAAATTTTTACAGATTGAAAGTTTCTTATATTCATTAGGCTTAAAATTTCTGTCTCCTTGAAGATAAGATAAGGATAGTGATAGTAATCAAAATCTAATGTTGGGTAGATTTGAGCTTTGTTAACATTTACTTGTGCAAGCTTGATCTTTTTAATAAAGTCAAATACGACGAACAGCATTCCTATTTTTAATTCATATAAAACAGCTATCTTAGAAAATTTTAAATTTACTATTTATCTGCAAAAGCTATAGTCTAATTTTAATATTTCCTATAAAATTTCAAATTTTTTAGGTTTTTGTTCTATTATTTTAACAATACATAGATTAGGATTAAGAGAACCAATTATAAAGGTATACTCTGTTTATGATTATTAAATTAGGCATGCTTCTGTGATTTTATTAAATTCAAGCAGATAATTATATTAAAAATACTAATCTCATAAGCTAAATATCTTAAAGCAACCAGATTTTTAAAATACTATAAAAAGCTCATCTGTCATCTATATAATTTTACTAATATAACTATTGCATTTATAAAAAACATCCTCTCTCACTTCTAGGGCATCTTTATTAAACCCTTAGATTGCGTATAAATTATAGCCATCAATAGAAAAAAGAATTTAATCAGCTTAAGAATGACATTTTACAGCTGCAAAGTTACAGGTATTAGATATTTAGAAATTCTTATTAATTACCCTTATTGGCTTTTTTTCATTACCACTTATAACTATTTTATTTCCTACTTACATCATTCCAACATAATTATCTTTATTGAAATCTTCTTCTGAGTAAATTCTTTGAAATCTTCAATTAAAATTATGATAGATTGTATTGTATGTTGGTTTATAAATCTCAATATTAAACCTCTAGAGTTATACATTTTTTTCTTCTTACTTAAATCCTTGCATGATTTATTTCAGTTAATATATCTTTTAATTAATAACATTCAAGTTTATTTAAAGCTTTTAATTTTAGTTAACCCTGGCTATTTTACTTTCACATGATTCTAGATAACTAACAAGTGAAATTTCACTCATCTACAATTTTTTTTGCAGAAATTCAAATTTTTATTATTAAATTTCCTTTATTTTAATCTAGTAAAAAGGAGAATTATCTATAATTTCAAGAAAATATTCTTTTAGCTTAGTAACTATTGGTCTTTAATTTGGACTTAGTGAGAGTATTTTATTTAGTGTTTCTTGGAAAATTTCATATTTCACAGGTAAGTTAATTTAACCTGTTCATTATTTGGCAAAGTGTAAAGGTTTTTCATTTATCTAGGATTCTCCTGTACAGAGAAAATATAAAATAATTCCAAGTGACCATATATCAATAGATTTATCATAATTCTCAGTATTTTAATGCATTTCTGGAGCCATATAATCGCATTTTCCTCCTGACGTTTCAGTATTTTCACCGTAAGTAGCAATTCCAAAATCACATATTTTAATAGCATTGTCATCCATTACAAGTATATTTTATGGCGAAATATCTCTATGAATGATATTATTTTAGTGTGCATATTCAAGCCCGTGTATAATCTCTAGCATTATAAATGCTATTTGATGAAAAGATAAATTTTACGCTCCATTTTTAGTAACGTATTAAAATAAATTCTCTTTCGCCAGTTCACTTGCGATAATAAAATTTCCATCATATGAGAAGAAGGATTCATAGACCTTAATAATATTTGGATGTTAAAGCTAATTACAGTAAATTTCTCTAAACAATCTAAGCACTGAATGTGATAATTACTTATCATTAGAATTGAGAATTTTCCTTAACTACTAAATCTTAAGTGCCACTATACGCTTCACTTAACCTTCTTATTATATATCCTTTGCAATAAATACATCCCCAAAGCCTCCTTTATCAATATTATTAATTATTTCGTAGCAAAATTCAGTGTTTTTAAGTTTTAGAGATATAGGATATTCCATTTATTTTATTTTATATTTATTACTAAATTAGATTTAACTCTTTCATGATGGGGTTTTGGGGTTTTGGGGTTTTGGGG